TTAAAGTTATTAGTAGGAGCACGTCTCATGGAGTTAAGAAGGATGGTCAGGAGAAGGATAGAGCTACTCAGAGTGAGAAGAAGCCTGAGAAAAGCAGCACACCCACTACAGTTCAACCAGTAAATGCTTTAGATGCCATGGATATGGGCACACCACCTCTAGTTGCTCGACGAGCCGACTTATGTCCTTCACCAAGTGTGGTACGGTGAAGGAAGTTAACAATGAAGAGGCTACTGAAGAAAAGGGTAAGGAGTACCAATTTTCACAAGATGAGGGCTAGATGCTTGTGGTTAGATGGGTCCTACAGGTTGGGGCTATGAGGGAATAATAGTGGCTTCAACACAACATATTTTACACCTGTTGTACTGTGAAGGAAATTTTATGTAGTCTCATCATCAATGGAGGGAGTAGCAAGAGTGTGGCGTTTGTACAGATGATTGACAAATTGAGTCTCACGCCTTAGGGGCATTCCCAACCATTTTTCTGACATGGTTGAAGGATAATAGGGTCAATATTGACAAGTGGTGCTCGCAGAGTTTTTGATTGAGAATCAATTACAGGATCGATCAGGTATAGTGCGATGTGGTGCTCATGAATGTCTGTCACCTTTTGTTAAAGAGACTATAACAGTTTGATCGCAAGACATAGCATGATGGATACAAGAACACCTACTAGTTCACCAAAGATGGAAAATCCATCGTCGTTCTACCTTCTACAGAGTCCGAGATTATAGGTGTTCTTGCTAGTAGAGAAGCAACAATGAGATCAGTTTTAGTAATCACAAAGGACAACAAGACAGAAGAATCGATTTCAGGCACGAGGTAGTCAATACAAAAAGAGTTATAGGACAACTTGTTTGATAGTTTACCGTCATGGCTGCCACTGTTCGGGGAGATTCAAGCTGCCCTCACTCCAGATTAAGTTGAAACAATCTTGCGTAACTTTGGGAGGATTCACAGAATATACGTGACACAATTCTAGTTCATTTCAGTAGTGTACTCCTAGATGGTTGGACCTTTTAGGATGACTACATATAAGAGAACTTCTCAGCTATTTTGGGAGACAGTGCAATCGACAATGGGATCCAGGTGCTCATATTGACGCAATCGAAGACCAAACTCCATGGGGCTACAACAAGTCGTCCACCTTCAACTTGTTTGATCCGACTTCATACTAGAAGGAGATAGAAGCTTTGAGGGATGAATTTGAAGCTCCCCAACCGTAAGAAACTAATACAGAAGCATCTCTTGCTCCTCCTGTGGGAGTCCCACAAACAAAGCAGCGACGCGACAACTTTACCTTGACCGAACCGGTTAAGGTTTTGTCCTTTTTGAGGAGTCGTTTGGGCCTCTTGGGTCACTCCTAGTTATCCTATTGTTATATATTTGCTTTCGTAATAGTCTAGGTTTATTTTTTGATGCATGTTTTTTGTCGGAATAATCGTCAGTGTTTCCTGTTCTCCCTTTTATAGCTGCATCCAAAGAAGGGTAGTGCTCTGTCTATAGCTCATCCAAGATGATGATTATCTCCAACTCTACTTGCCGCAGCTCCCTTTTCTCACTGCAGCCGCCCAGGAAAGCCACAATTGCTGCATTTCCTGAGTCCCCACCCTTCCCAAGGCCGCAGTCCCCTCTCCTCGCTGCAAGAACCAATAGACAGCTCTCCTTGCTGTTCTCCTACACCTACTACCCCTCCAGCCAACCATTCTCCCTCCCCCAGCCTGTCACCCAGCCGCCAAATACTCCCCTCCCCTCCCAGTTGCTCTTGCTGTCCTTGTGGGTCAACACCTTCCCACCAGCCGAACCCACTGCTTTCCCTTGCAGTCCAGCCACCCCACCGCAGCCCAATCTTCCCACCTACAAACCTCCACCTCACATCTACCGAACCTGCTGCCTATCACCAACCTCTCATACATTTTGTTGCATAACTACCTACCTTCTTTTTTGGGATACACATCTAGTTGAGTTGAGTATTGTTATTCTTCTTTTTTGTGTGTTTGTTGTAACTGCCTATTGTCTTTTTCAGTAATAATATTTATTGTCTATTGTTGTTTGGGTTAAGTCCGGTATCACAATTCCTCTACAACTTCAACTCAAGGACCTAATCTTCTTGATATCAATTACTAGTTTATAGCAAAATGCAGGCAATCTTAATATTAGTTCCTTAGATGGATAACATTTGACAAAGGGTTCATAAAGTGCTTTACATCCTAGGTGGTAGGAGGCCTATATTGATTAGTGTTGGGAGTTCATCCATCAATGATCCTTACAAGTAACTGGAAGGTACTTTTTTAGTCACTCTTTCATTTCATCACATTTTAGTGTTTGGATCATGTTCTGACCTCTCAATTTGTGGTTGGATAATAATCTATTAATATGGTTTTCCTTGCTGAGTTCATGGACATTTCCAATTATACGTAAATGTGACATCTCTTGCTGATCAAAATAATAATCATGAGAAACTTTGGGATCCAAATCGCCATAAAAAGGAGATTCACCCCAATTGTATTTGCGATTCCTGAAATGATCAAACATGATTTTATTTACTCTAGTAAGCTGTGGCTTGCTTAAGTGGATGGGGTTACAAAACTTTGAATTGTTTCTTTGTGGTTACATTAAAGCATTTTGTAATTGATAGGTTTGTGATAGCAACTTATATGTTCCCTCCATTTGGGATCTCAAAAGAACTCAAGAATCTACTCAGGATGAAATTTTAACTCTTTATCACCTTACTAGTCCTGATTTTTATGATGCCTTACAATTAGATCAGGATAACTTGAAAATGTCCTTACATTGCAGATGAGTGTATGATTCATAAATTTTCATCAACACAGTACTGCTTGGTTTTCTAGGACTCTCCAATAAGAGATCTAATTTGATCCTATCCTTTATGAAGTGGAGGAGTTTGTATTGTTAGGTTAGAATGCCAGTACAAATATTCTTCAAGGAGTCTTCTCGAATCTAATATGATGTTCGAACCCTAAAAGACGCGTCTTATGATTTGTGACCATTGTTTAATCTGCACTGTTATAATAAATTTGCTGTTAGGAAGCCTAGGGAAGTTTTAATGTGATACGCATAACACCTAAATGCCAATACTAATATTTACCTAACATGTCTTGCACATAGAAAATTCAATCCACATAAGTTATAAAACCATATCGTTTAAGAAAAAAATAAAGAGTGGGAACATGAAAATCCAGAAATATTGAACCTAAACAATTAGTTCTTAGTATAATCACGGAATCTTAATAAGCCCTGCAATTTGGCTATCACTTATCATTAATTTTAATCCGAGGAATACTACAAATAGAAGCATCTTAATGATCTAGATTATCATGAGATTTTTGAGGGATTGAAGTATGATACCTATAATATAGCACAAATTTCTTAAAGAACATGAACTTGCTTGGTACTTTTGTGGAAATGAGATTCTTCTTATGAAAAGGAAGCTCCTAAACTTTTGAGATGTGAAACCAACTAATAAGCTTAATAGACAAAAAAATCCAAAAGAGAGAAAACAAGATAGAAGTACAAAAGTTTAAAAAAAAAAGAAGAAATCTACTCATTGAGATAGAGGTACACAGTCTACACTTGGTCATTCAAGTTATATTCTTTACATATCACACCAATATAGATCTTAATTAAATTCATATTCATTGTATTGAAATTTCACTCCTCATGTTATAGTCCTTACATATCTCTTTGGTTTTGAAATTCATTAAATACTTTCTATGATTAGTATGACCTTCAAGTAGTCTACAATAACTAAACTATAGAGTAGTAAGAAACTCCATCGCTAAGCCTAAGGAGTTAGAAATAAAGGGATATTTGATGAGTTGCTGGACCCACCAAATTACTATATATTTTTATTTTATGGTGCCTAGCCAGCCAGGTGGCTAATGTCTTTCAAGTCCATGTGACTGTTGCTTATATTTCTTCCCAGCTCTAATTATTAGGAATCTTACGGGTACTCTTCCACTTTATGCTTGTGTATACGTTCAATTTGCCGGCAAGTTCTAATCTATCAAATTTAGGCTTTGGTTTAGAAAAAAAGTAGTTAGCTTTAGTTTTGGTTTCTAGAATCTCTGGAATGAAGCAAATATTGTGAAGTTTATACGTAAATCTACCTTTCATGCCAATTCACAGCGATGCTATATATCCTTCAATTTTGTAAAGCGCATAATTATTAGCTTCCATTCATTTTTCTTGTATCTGTTGCTGCTTTGGTTTTTTGCTTGCATTGACTTAAGACTGTTTGACATTGCCGGCGGCGAAGTTCCGTTTGGTTGCAGTAAATGCGGACGCGTGGAAAAGGTTTCATTTAGTGAAGTAGCTTCTCCCGAATGTCTCCCGAAGTTTATTCCTTCGCAAGATCGATCAGTTTTTGCCGTTTCAAATTGCAGTTGGCCTCCTCCGTTCGACGAATGAGATTTTTAAAGGAAATTTGCTGAATGGTGACGGTACTTCAAACGAAGCCTTCATGGCTTATTTAGTTTTGTATGAATTTGTTGGTTACACAAATATGATTTGCTCAAATTGTATTTATGAGATTGGAGAAAGGTTTTTTATTGCGCTAAAAATTAAAACATAGTGTCCTGTTTTTTCTTGAGTGTTCTTCAAGTAAATGTGGGGTCTGCATATTACTTGCATAATTTATGTTAACACTATTAAATGTAGAGTAGAATTCATGTTGTCATAAAATTTAAAGTTAATGAATCTGCTTGAGTTAATCATCATGGCACATTTCATATGTTAATAATAATAATAATTTTTTTAACTTTTGTTTCCTATTTTAGCATCCAATTGATATCTAGCCTAAATTAAAAATTGAAGATTTTGATTTTAACTATATTTTTCAATGTAAAATTGGGGAAAATTACATATAGAGCACAAGAATTATTGACATGGCTAATAATATTCAACTTTTTATATACATTTAATGTTCATATTTAGTGATCTTGTACTTTAAAGAAATGTATTTTCATGTTTTTGTTGCAGGTATATTAATTTTAGTCATTTTGAGTTTGAAGTAAGCAAATAGGAAGGAATTTGGAGGATAAAGACGGCTTGTTGTAAGAGTTGAACTGGCACCTAAGCACCTGATTTGGCGCCTAAGCTCCAAAATCCAACATTGAACTGACGCCTAAGTGGCATAATCCAGAGAAGACGACGCCTAAGTGCTAGATTCTGGAGCCTAGGCCCCATAAACAGTCATTCATCTAAATGCATTGGATTTGGACGGATTTTTAAAAGGAGGCCTAAGGAAACTCTTGGAAATTCGGCCCTACATTATAAAATAGAGATTTTAGGCCAGAATTGAAGGGGGGCAAAAATGTGTAAGGTTGAGAAAGACTTAGGGAAGATTTTTCTGTAAGAGTTGTAAAATGAGAGGGAAAATGTGAGATTTCTTTATCGTTACATTTCTAAAAGAGAATTGAGTGATATTATAAGGAGAGAGAGATTCAAAGGACTTCAAACGATTTGCTTGGAGATGAGACTGAGATAAGTTATACTTTATTTTCAGTTGTTGTGTAAACTTGTTTCTCTCTATATATAAATCCATGTTTTATTGCATCTTATTCATAATTCTGAGTAGTTTGTTTTGTTCTTCTCCCTACAATGAGATATAGTTATGTGGATAATTTAATTTGTTTGGAAATGTTTAAAATTCTTAATTGTGATGATTCAAGCTTTGAACTTCATTTACTTATCGATCTGATCAATTGCTTTGTTAAAATTTGTTGTGAAAACATACGATCCGAGAGGGCTATGCTTTCTACAACTAAATAAGAATGACATTTAATTTCATGGATGATAATATAGTCCATGGGGGTTGAGTGCAAATAAATAGGAAAATATACTTTGTCGGGCGTATGATTGGAAATTTTAGGGTGACAGACTAAAATCTCCAATTTGGTCCAGATGTTTGGAAACTAATTCGAGATGTTAGCCCTCGGGTGAATGGAACGTGGGAAATCTAAGGTGAGAGCTTGGTATCTTCCCAACCTAACCATAGATTTAGAGACTAAACTCTGGATTAACCAATATTCTTTGTCATTCGTAAAGAGGATAAAGAATATAATTGCTCCTATTTGACACAATACAATTTAATAACAATTTGGATACTTCACTGACTATAACCTCATTGTAAAGGGGAATGATACTTTCCAAAATTTAAACCCTTCGTTATAAAACTTAGTTTAGTTACATTAGATTTAACTTTGAAGTTTAGAGAATACTGTAGTAAAGATAGTTCCTTAGCTATTGAATACAAACCTCAACCTGTTTTCTTTCTTAAGTTTTTTTTTAAGTTCTGATATCTTTGTGTTAGTATTATTAGAATTTTCACATCCCCGTGAGATCGATACTTAGGACTCTATTAGAATCATTTATTACTTGTGCGATATGTATACTTGCGTTTGCAACCTAGTAATTATTTAAAATTGAAAAAAAATATATTGATTCACTAGGAGTGACAACTTTAAAGATTTAAAAGAGAAACTGATTATATGAAAACAAACTTTTATTGTGATTGTTCTGCATATTTCCTAGTCTCGCTGTCACTTGTGTTAGTGTGTTGAAAAATATTACTAGCATAAATAAATCCGTTGTCGGGGAGGTAATGAAAAATTACTTTCTAACTTAAAAGATTTTATTAGAACTATAAGACTTATTTTTGTCGAGTAAAATATATATAAGTTCGTGTGCGAGAGTTTATTATTAGAATTGTTATTTGTGTTTGTGTATGCGTAATTTAGGATCTATATGATTAATACATTACGGTTATGAATTAGAAAGAACTATAAAAATTCAAAAATAACAAAAAGAACTTAATAATTTGAACAAAATGACAAACAACTTAAATAATCAATGTTTTGAAAATGAACATCAACAAAGACCTTTAAGAGATTATGCTAATCCTACAACAAATACAAACTCCTGCTGTAGCTGCTAATTCATTTGAACTTAAATTTGTTATTATTCAAATGCTACAAAATAATCAGTTTGGGGGAACACCATCTGAAGATCCTAACTTCCATCTTGCTAGGTTTCTAAAATTGTGTACTACATTTAAACATGAGACTTAGACATTTTCCTTTTTCATTAAGGGATAAAATTAAGATGTAATTAAACTCATTAGCATCTTGATCTATATGAACTTTGAGAGATATATCTCTGAAATTTTTGGCTAAATATTTTACACCATAAAAAACTACGAAGCTGAGAAGCGATATCACATCTTTTTGTCAGTTTGAAGGGGAATTAATATATGAAGCTTGGGAACGATTTAAAGATCTTCTTAAGAAGTGCCCACACAATGCTTTACCCGATTGGTTAATAATTCAAACATTTTATAATGGATTAGTGAGATCTCTTAGATTTATCATTGACACTGGTGGTGGTGGTTTGTTAATGTCAAAGCCATTCGATGAAGCATATACTTTAATTGAAGAAATGACTACTAACAACTTTCAATGACCCTCTCAAAGAATAAATCTTAAGAGAGTAGCCGATGTTCATGATTCTGATGCAATGTCTATTTTGGATTCTCAAATTGCTACCTTATACTTTTCATCATCCCGAGCACATTAAGATCCTTAGATTATTAACCACCCAGTTAGTTAGAGGTCTCTATTGCTACCATAACGATGACGAATATAAAACTTCTTCTTATTAGGTGGTTTGAGATGCCTTTATTAGTAATCATATGTTACATCATACCAGGGCACCTACATAATCTAAGGGTATAAGCTTGTTCATTTTATATGTCTTAATCCTTAGTATTAGCTATGGGTACCTTGTAAACTAACATAGGCTTCTAGACTGAACTATTATAGGGTTTGTATGATACTTAATTTTGTTTATGAGTTGGCTAACCTAGGGTTTCAAGATTGATCTACCAAGATTTAGTTTGCATGATTTAGAGTTGGTGAATTTTAATTTGCTTTTGGGGTTTCATATTTAGTTTGATTTTTTTGTATTCAAAGTTTGTCAGATGATGTGATATTCAAGATTTTCATTGGTTTCATGTTTTGTAATTGTTTCTCTAGGTTGATGTTATATGTTCAATTCTGTCCTTAATGTCACGGACAAATAGTCCCACATCAGCTAGGTGTAGGGCCGAAAAGCAGTATTTAAGTCCTTGGCTGCCCACCACCCATAAGGGCTCTTTTGGGAGGTGACAAGTGGTATAAGAGCCGACTACTACCTGCCAGGTGTGTGGACTCTCCATGGTCCAGTGGGACCCTCGGTGGAGCCGATTCGTGACGAGGGCGTCACGTGATTAGGTGGAGGAGAATGTCACGGACAAATAGTCCCACATCAGCTAGGTGTAGAGCCGAAAAGCAGTATTTAAGTCCTGGGCTGCCCACCACCCATAAGTGTTCTTTTGGGAGGTGACATTAAGCTCAGTTCTTAGTTTGAAGTTTCATGTTATTTGCAAGCTTTTGCTATTCAATTTCTTTTAAAGTTTCAAATATTTTAAAAGGTTTTAAAAGTTTTATTTTTGAGTTTAAGTTACTTTTCATAAGTGTCTTAACATGTTATTTGATTTAAGTGTTTAAGTAATCCCAAGTTTACTGAGTGTTGGAGTTTTCTTAAATTATATAGTTTAGGAGTTAAGGTCGTCTTATTTGATTTAAATGTTTCAATACCTTATTCCATTTTAGTTTTAAGTAATTAATGTGTTTTGATTTAAGTGCTTAAGCCGTTTAAAGTGTTTAATTTAAGTATTTGAGTTATTTCAAATTATTTAAAGGTTTGAATTTTTTTTTTATTTTAAAGAGGGCTTTTTATAATTAGTTTTAAAAAGTTTAAATAGGTATTCAATGTTCTAATTTTTTTCTTGTTTAATTTTCAATTTTGTTTAAATTTAAAAACAATTTTAAATTATTATTATTTTCTAATTTTTTAAATGTTTTAATTTATTTTCAAACTCCATTTAATTTATTACTAAATTATTTTTACATATTTTTTTTAAATTAATATTAAATTACTTTTTAAATTTGTTCTCAATTTAAACATTAGTTTTAATGTTCTAAAGTTATTTAAAAATTTTAAATTATTTTAAAGTTATTTTAAGTTATTATTAAGATTTTTAGATTAGTTGAAGAATTTAAACTAAATAAGCTTGCAAATGGCATGTTCTATTAAATTATTCACAAGAACCTACACCTTTTTTTTTTTTTTTTTTCATTTTTGAGATTCTCCACCTTTTTTTTTTCATTTTTGATGCATAAAATAAAATACACATGACACAAAATATTTTACACGAAACATGACATTTGCACAAAACCAAAGCAACATAGACTACACATGAAGCATAGAGAGAAGCTAAGTTAGGCTAAGATTAGGCTTAGGTTAGGCTAGACATGAGCTGGGTTTGGATGTTGGTTGAACTTGGGTTGGACCTAGGTTGGACTTTGGCTGGACTCAGATTAGACTTAGGTTTAACTTAGGTTGGATTTGAGTTGTACCTGGACTCAGGTTAGGTTGGGTTTTGGCTAGGTAGGGTTTATGTTAGGTTAGATTCTGATTAGGTTGGCTTTTAGTTAAGTTGGGTTTGGGTTCTAGTTATGTTGGGTTCGTGTTAGATTGGGTTTGGGCTTGGATGGATTTAGGCTAGGTTGGGTCAGGGTTTGTCGGGTTTGGGTTAGGTTGGGTTCTGGTTAGGTTGTGTTTCATTAATTTGGGTTCATGTCAGACTGGTTCAGGTTATGCTTGATTTAGGTTAGGTTGGGTTCATGTTAGGCTGGGTTTGGGTCATGTTTGGTTTGAGTCATATCGTGTTTGGGTCAGGTTGGGTTCAAGTTAGGTTGTGTTTAGGCTAGGTTGGTTTCAGGCTTGATTGGGTTTGTGTTAGGTTAGGTTTGAGCTTATTTGGGTGTGAGTTAAGTTGAGTTTTGGCTTGGTGAGGTTCAAGTTAGGTCGAATTCGGGTTAGGTTGGGTTCTAGTTAGGTTGTGTTCGAGTTAGGTTTGGTTCTAGTTACGTAAGGTTCAGGCTAAGTTGGGTTTGGGTTAGGGTAGGTTCGAGCTAGTTTGGGTTTGGGTTAGGTTGGGTTAAGGTTAAGTTGGATTTGGGATTGGTTTGGTTCAAGTTAGGTTAGGTTAGGTTGGTTTTGGGTTTGGTTTGGTTCGAGCTAGGTTGGGTTCGAGATAGGTTGGGGGTTTGGGCTATGTTGAGTTTAGGCAAGGTTGGGTTTGGGATACGCTGGGTTTGGGATATGTTAGGTTTGGGTTGGATTAGGTTCAAGCTAGGTTTGGTTTGGGCTAGGTTGGATTTAGGCTAAATTGGGTTCCAACTAGGTTGGGTTTGGGTTAGGTTAGGTTTGAGTTAGGTTGGGTTTAGGTTAGATTGGGTTTAAGTAAAGTTGGGTTTGGGTTAACC